CACTCTCACACATACACACACACTCATCTTAAACGGCGCATCAGACAGAGATTTGGTTCCTCTCTCTTGAGGGTGCTGTGTGCGCACCTGGCGGCCGACATAAGCGCACATCTCCCTCCTCTGTGGATTCGCGCATATTGCCAGTGATGCTTAAAGTGGACATAATAAATCACTTACGCTGCTGTTCTGCCCGGACCAGTGCACCATAGCCTGGTTGTGAGATGAGTCCCCGGTTAAGGCGAACGTTGAACTGTTAAGTTTTAGCTCCTCCTGCCTCGGACCGGCGGCTCTCCGCTCCTCTCCGCTCCAGCGCAACTCAGAGCGCGTCACTCTGCGTCCAGCCGCCGAGCTCCTGCCCTCTCCCGGGTCTTGACTCTGGGCTGAACCGGGGGTTCTGACTTTATCATCACTGTTCCTCCTGGCGCGCTTTCTGGTCCTGGTGGTAAAACCTGCGCCATTGCCGCTCATTTTGACCCGAGAAACTTTCATCTTTGCAAACTCGCTCTCACCGGGTTCGCTGTTTGCGTGCAGGTTGTCTGTATTCCGTTTCAGCCTCGGCTCAGTGTATTCCGCCCGAATCTCTGGAGCGCATTCAGCGGACCCAGCTGCGCAACTGAGCCGCCGACTTTCGGCACTTGCAGCCCCGGAGCTCCCTGCTCCGTCTCCGCGTCCAAAAACTTCTCCCTTTAATCCTGTTGCGGGATCACTCGTGTCGAATTTCAGCAGTAATTCCTGTGCACGCCACTTATTTCCAGGCTGGCATGACCTGCAAGTTATCTCAGCCTTGGCGGCATGAGAGAAACAGAGCATCATCAAAAGCAAAAACCAGAGCGCACTGTGCCACTTTGGGCAAAATATGACCTGCCTTTCCATTGCTGGCGGCACAGAATGATGCTGCGGATGCAAGAAGTCCTTTCCCGCACTCTTCTCTCTGCCCTTTCTCGGGGACTGAACTGCCGCTCGGCGGTGGAAGAGGAAGTGCTGCGCAAGTTGTGGCGTTGCCCAAATGCAGTGTTGTAAAAAGTGCGGCTGAGTCTAAGTGGTCCAAGTTGAAGGATTTGATCAAATGAAGCCCCGCACGCATGGGGGAGGAGCTGAGGACCCGGACTGAGAGATGGAGGATAATGTTGGGCTGTCTTTCTCCATATTTGTTATTTCCCACCATATGCTCGGCTATAATTAAAGCAGTCAGTACTACAGTCATTTTGTTCCGCCGCTCTTTTATTTCTCCTCACAGACACATTTTTTTCTGAGAAGCTATTCCTGCTGTTTTTTTTCCTCCTGATGCAGATTTTATCACCAGCCTCCCTTCGGGAAAGTAAATCGCTTGATTTAGCAAATGAAAATGAATGATTTTGCCTGAGATGAACCTGTTCAGATGCAATTCTTTTAGGTCTCAACAGGGCTTAATTGGAACATATTAATATGTTTCCAATTAAGTGCAGTGTCAGGGATGGTAGCTTCTATGACTTATTAAACAGCAATAAAGAATTCAACAGCCCACATAGGAACATGAGATTTCTTCCACAACACATCTCTATCTGCATGCATTCTGCAACTGATCCTGCATCCCTCCAGGATGGCTTTGCATTTATTTTGTATGCTACAGACCAAGCTGGAGAATCACCTGTAAGGTGAAACACACAGTCTGGACTGGATCATGAATATTTAAATGCTTTGCAAAAAAAAAAAGAGACATCTTGTTTAACTGTATAATTTTGTCCCAACAAGCTGCCAGAGTATCTCAGGTGACAGGAATGAAACCGATCTGAACAACAAGGCTGGAAGTTCATCTCTTTGACATCGGCCCTGCAGCTATCTGTGTCTAATGACTGGGGGTTATGGTGAAGTCTGATGAGCACTTACTAGCACAAAGGGATACACAAATGGTCACAGACTACTACAACAGCTGGCTGCTTTCTAGTTCACAGCAGAGAATGCTGCCATGAGGGGATAAAATGGGCAGATTGTGCCTGGAGAGGTGATTCATTTTATCACCAGGAAAAATATCTATAGGCTACAACACAGATTAAAGAGTAACGGATTAGAGAATTAGGGTGACTGCTGAAACCTGTTGAGACAAATGTTGCATCATGTGTTCTGAATAAGTGTGTTGAATATAAACCCATTTGTTTTAAGACAGTCATATGTTGATAATGACCCATCTGTGGTGATTACAGCTGAATGCCACTCACTCTGCCACATTCATTCTCCCTCTGTTGTTAGAGCATGGAACTATTTCCTGCAGGACAAACCTACCTAATCCCACATTTTTATCACCATATCAATCATGTCACTGTACGCATGTTTTTAATTGTAACATGGCTAACAGGTGGAGGCTATATGAATATATAAAAGCCAAATGAAAAATATTTAGTTTTTTATTATTGGTGTTTTGTGTATAAGAAAATATCCATACACTTGAGTATCTCAATATTTTGTTTTGTGATATTGTATCGATTCTCAAAAACAACATATCGATATTGATTATTATCGATATTGTGTTTAAACCTCCAACTACTAGATAGCTAGACAGTTTTCCTAAACATTTTTTTAAAAACCCAATATATCACCATGCTATCATTATCACAAATATATCACAATATATTGAACCTTTTATCATGATATGTATTGTATTGCCAGATTAACACCAATACGCAGCCCTAATTATTAGCATTAGGTCTGTCACTTATAAATTACATTTATACACTACATTGTAGCTGTAGTTTATTACTACATTAGGGGTTTAAGAAAATATAGAAAAATATCGTATTGCGATATAAACAGATCTGGGCAAGTTGCTAAATTTTTTATATTGAACGTATTAGTAAAATGTTCACTCTTATCAGAAAAAATAGGCCATTTTGCAACATCATCCACTCGTAATGACTACAGCATTTTTTCAACTTTTTTATGGTTACATTTAACTGAAATCAAGATGTTTCCCTAACTACAGACAGGAGTGTGGACGCTGGAACTTCCTGCTGGCAGTGACCTTCATTGGATTTTGGTGTTGTAGTACAGTACTTTATAAGCTCCCCATACACCCTAACCAGGATTCTAGTGCGGCACATAAATGTAGCGTTTCATTTCAGGAATGTTTTTTCTGAACATAATCTAGGCAGTGATTATGTTATCACCACAATGTAATTATGGAAAAAATTTAGTAATATACAAACGTGATTTCTGGGCTGGACAGAAACTTGTTTCTGTGTTTAAAAGATTAGTTCACCCAAATCAAAAAGTGAGCACCACAAATGAAATTCCATTCATTTCCTTTAAATCAGCCGAACTCTCAGAGACAGAGTCAGGACTGCACATCATGGCACTCTCCAGGGACCTTTTTAGTGGCTAGGGAGTTATCCTGCTCGCCTGTCCACATAGGGAAGGTTAGTGCCAGCAGGAAGTTCCAACTAATGACTTACTGTGTCAAATTATTGACTTTGCTTGTTGCCCCTGTCCAGCATCCTTAAGAATTACATCCACAGAGAAAGAATTAAGATTGTCTTATAAGAATTAGACAATCTTAATTCTCTCGCACAGCTCTTAATTTATTTCCACTGCCAGAGCAGGAAGTAGTGCGCCCAATGTGCATGAGCAGTTTGCCTCTCATCACAGACCTGCAATGAACTTTTGACAATTTTTTTACCTAACCTTTAAACCAGCAACAACTGTTTTGTTGGCGCAACAACAAAACGGCGCAAAACTATAAAGCGTCTCCGTTACTTAAAAGTTGATATTTCAAAATACAGTATAATAATACTAAAATGTAATATTTCAAAATGTCCCACTCAGTATGTAAAAAAACAAAACTACCTAATCTAGGGATATTTTTATTTTTGCCATTGAGTTTATGTTTTTAAAAGTATTATTGGTTGATAGTCTTTTTAAACTCCCTATTAAACTCAATATCTGTATCAAAAACCTGATATCAGTCAGGCTACACGATACATTTACTATGTTGCGCCAAAAAATATATTTTTCAGTAGTGGTGATTATGACACACTATGTGATCAGAGCTGATAATGAGTCTGCTCAGATCCATGTGGGTCCTACTAACTGACACACAACCCTGAGACTCACTTCAACTAAAGTGTCTGCGGCAGATAAAAACAGCTCCTTCTAAGGTAAAAAATACACAACAAATTGTATTTTCAGATGATCATACACTAATAAAAACATAGCTATAAATATTATATTCCATTTCTGACAAAAGATCCTCCTAAATGTTACACACTGGAACTTTAATATATGGTTCGGTTTTGGGCTGGATCTGAGCCCTGTCTCTAATCTCCAGTCTCCTGCCTCTAACTGCACTCTTACAGCTACATAGCGCGACCTCCAAAGTATCTGCATGGCTAGACACCACTTGAGGTGAGAGAGAAAATATGTTTTTTCATAATGTGAGTGAAACGACCCTTTAAATGACACTCTTAAAGGGAAATCTGATTACACACTCCCTCTTTTTTTTTTTTTGCAGGGGGGGGGGATCCTCCCCAGCCATGTCCGACCACAGACGTTAAAGATGATAAGTGCTGCCTCTCTTCATGGCACACGGCATTAAGCAGACATATTGTATTGGATTAATGGTGCTGCAATGGACAGGGCCCATATGGCCCGCAGACACTTATCAACCAGTTCTCTGGTGTGTATGTGTGTGTGTGTGTGTGCGTCTCCTGCAGTAACACACAGCATCATCTCCTGTCCCCGCCTGGACTCACCATCCATTCACAGGCAATCGATGCCCTGCCAATAGCAGAAATGGATTTTTGAGGATGTTGCAGAAGGCAATATATGCAGGCCCGAGTTGTCTGATTTGTGTGTACCCCCTCGGACTATGAATCCACAACAAGGTGGTAAGCTGCAGAAATCAGAGAAAAATTTTCTTGTATGCAAAAGTGAGGGCAGAGAATATGCCCTCTGGCTTCACTGAAACGTTACACTGTAAAGTGAGCATGATTGAAACGCTTTCCAGATGCAGGAGGGGCCTCACAGTTGCTCTTCATATCACATACATATACTTACATGCTTGCAACACGTTTATTGACATTTTAAGAAGTGTTATTACAGTCTGGTGTTTCAGATATGTAAAAAATAACCTCTAAACTCGTGCGTGACCTTTTTGCAAAGCCACCGGTCCGTATCATTTATTATTATTATTGTCATTTGATCGAACCATGACACCGACTCGTAAAGTCTCTTTTCACAACTTTTTACAACATTGTTCCCCCTCCCTTGCCTAGCTCCCAGGCTACCCTCAGCCCAGTAAAAGCTTTAGAGCATTAACACAAACAAGAGTCGGACTCGGTGGAACAAACAGCGATGTACTTTTTGTCCCAAGCCAAAACATTCCTGTTTCTAACAAGAGAGCCGGAGACAAAAGAAGCCCAATAAATGTAGAAGCAAAGGCTTGTGCTTAAAGGGTTCTAGGTAAACAATTAAGAGTTGAAAAGAGGAAGGAAGTAGCCAAAGCAAGAAGGAAGGAGGGGGGGTTAAGTAAATGGCTCTTTTATATTCCCTGTGTTCGACTCAAATTGAAAGTTACTCCAGATAAATAAGTTTCCCAGTAACATATACTCTATTGGTATTCACTTACAGCAGAGAGCAGACATCGGGTCAGGAGCAATCAGTTTGCCGTGGGCTTGTGAAGATGGGTTCAACATCTGAGTTCAGCATCTTTCAATTTCCAACAATTTTTGGCATGTTTGTGTCTCAGCCTGCCATTAATTGCAAAACCGTCCACCCATAACAATATGAGTTTGTGAGATACAGACTGCAGCCTAAATCAAAGCCAATCCTTCACAAGGCAAACAAAAAAAGCAGCCTACAGAAATAGACCAGTGGTTAGTTGGGATTCCATTTCCAATTCCTGAATTGAATTTCAAGCGGTGTCCCAAATTGGCTGAGCCGGACCACAGCGGTGCTTATTGCGGTGGTTGATATTAAGCTATACATTTACATTATTAAAAAAGGACATAGTCTCTGTGACGTTACCCATATGTTTCTGAAGAGCCAGCTCAGTGTGGTCGGCTCTGGCTGTCG